TAAAAGTAACGTAAAATGACATGGAAACACTGACAAGGGAACGAGGAACTCTGATGGGTTGGTGAGGATCAAGGGAAACAGTTGCAGAAAGAAGCCTGGTAACCAGATGAAGGAAGAACATTTCAAGCCGATGAAGAAATAGTCTAAGTATAGGAATAGAGATAGTAAAAGTAAGAGTGGGTTTAGTTTGGTGAATAGCCTTCTGTGATATAAGCAGAAGCTATACAGAAATGGTGCAAATTAGTTTATGGGAAAGAAAGAATTGTTTAAAGGTGAAAGAAAAAAAAAAATGATAGGCTAGGACCTGTTTGTGAAATATCATTCTAATGAATTTAAGCTTTGGGGGCGCCTGGGTGGCTCAGTCAGTTAAATTCCAACTTCGCCTCAGGTCATGATCTCCTGGTCCACGAGTTCGAGCCCCTCATGGGCTCAGTGCTGACAGCTCAGAACCTGGAACCTGCTTAAAATTCTGCATCTCCCTCTCTCTGCCCCTCTCCCACTCATGCTGTGTCACTCTCTCCCTGTCAAAAATAAACATTAAAAAAAATTTAAACTTTGGTCTATAGTCAGTAGAGACCATAGTTTGGGTAAAAGTAATAAATAACTAGACTATAGCAATGGATAGAAACTTGTAAAAAATTGTCTAAATATATGGATTAGAAGATAATTGGCTAATGCAGTTATGTGGTACAAAGGGTGAGAGACATTGGAGCCACAAAGGCATAAAATTTCAAAATATGTACATAAGTATAGGCAAAATATAGATACGATACTATCATTCAAGATAAGAAACGAAGGCAACAATTGGTGAAATACATGATCATGATTTGGAACATAAGTTGATATATCCAAAGGATCTCATGAAGAAACAAAAATAATGAACTAAAAATAAAAAAATCAAGTCTAGAGATAAAGATTTGGAAACTATCATTTTGAAGATGGTAGTTGAAGCCAGAAAAGTAGATAAAACCACTAGGGAGCCTGTGGAAAAGAGAATACTGAGAGGAGACCACTTAGAAATGACAGTAGCATTCAAAATGGAAAAGGAAATCCAGTTCACATAGAAAGTAATATACAAGTGGAAAACCAGCAGGGTCAAATCAGTGACTTTAGACACAAGAGTTGAAAGAAGGAAGGTATCCTGAATATGGTGAAATGTTACAGAAAGGACAAGTAAGTTAGTACTGAGGAGACCAATGGGATTTTACACCATATCCTAGATAGACTTTTCATCTCAATATCCCTTCTTATGTAATATTTTTATTATGATCTTCATGTGGAGGACATACAGTGTTAAGTTTTTCATATATCTTGATTTACTTCTTTATTTTAATCTATCAATAATTGTTCTAAGCAAAAGTGCTTTCTAAGTAGTTAATGGTGCTCAACTTCCCACTCTTCGTCTACAAATGGGAGCCATTATTAAACAGCAATCATTCATAGTTAAGGTAATAGTAGTAGAAAACCTTCATAAAGCATATATCCTTCTTTTAATCTTTTCATATAAATATATATAAATACCTGTATAAGAAATATAATTATATATATGTATTTATGTATATATGTATATATACACACATATATGTAAAGAATGGTAGTATCTCAATCTTTTCAAAGACAATGATATTTGATGTAATGTGTCCAAATCCCATTAGATTAAACTTAATGAAATTTAAGGATCATGTCCTTCATTTAGTAGAGTAAATGGCATATAGAAGGGTCACATGAATGTTTTTTTAAATACTTAAATTTGGCACTAGAAACAAAGAATGGTATAGCAAGAGATACATGAAGGAATAAGAGAAAAAGTGATTACATTGGAGGATAAGACTCATATGGATAATTTAAATTAACATGTACTGCTACTAAATAATTGAAAGTTCAATAAAAACCTAATTAATTATAACTCCCTCTTTCTCTTCTATGGGATCATTCAGTCTGAGGCTGGCTGATATTTTACCTTTGCACTATTTATGAAGCTTTGTTTTGCTGTGTAAACTAATAAGATAAAATTATTTCAAGTTTTTTTAAAACTACTCACAAAGCAAACTTTTTAAGGACTCCATGCTTAAATTATTAAATGAAAATGAATGACACAAATTATTCATGTCATTCTTTTAATAAAGTTAATTCAAAGATATCTCTCTTCAAAAAAATAAACATATCTAAATGCAAACTATGTACTGTTTGTCATTGGATTATAGAGGGTTCTTTTGATTTCCTTTAGTCCCTTAGCATTCTACTGTAATTACCACATCATACTACGCTTATCAGTATCATTATGATATTTATTACTATCAGCTTCATCATCAATGCCACTAATATAGTATCGCCTATGTGGAAGACTTTGGGCAGTTCACATCTCTGTGAAGTATATGTTATTTAAGTCTTTTAGATGTGGTAACTAATGCTTTGGAGATTAAGATGCTTAAACTGACATAATTATTAAGTGGCAAAGCCAACATTTTAATGTAGATCTGTGTTGACTGCCCAAAATGCTTCAAAAAAATAAGTTTATTAGACCTATTGCAGTGAGAAAGAAAAGCATTATAAGGTGCCTAGGTAGCTCAGTAGGTAAAGTGTCCAACTTCGGCTCAGGTCATGATCTCACTGCTCGTGAGTTCAAGCCTCACATCAGGCTCTGTGCTGACAGCTCAGAGTTTGGAGCCTGTTTCAGATTCGGTCACTGTCTCTCTGCCCCTCCTCTGCTCACTTTCTCTCTCCCTCTCTCTCTCTCAAATATGAAATAAAAACATAAAAAAAATTTTTAAAAAGAAAGAATGGCATCTTGACTAGGTGTATTAGTTTCCTAGAGCTGCCATAACAAACACCACAGATTGAGTATGTATACATTATTCAAGGTGGTATCAGAGTTGGTTCCTTCTGAGGCCTGTGACAAAAAAAAATCTGTCTCAAGCCTCTTGCTCAGCTTCTGGTGGTTTTCTGGAAGTCTTTCGAGTTCTTTGGCTTGTAGAATCATCACTCCAGTCTCCGTCTTCTTGTTCACATGGTTTTCTCCCTGTGCGCACATCTATTTCCAGATTTTCTCTTTTTATAAGGACACTAGTCATATTGTATTAGGGACCCATTCTACTCCAGTATGACCTCATTCTAAATTAGCTGGTTACATCTGTGATGACCTATTTCCAAATAATATCAGATTCTGAAATACTGAAGTTTAGAACTTCAATTTATGAATTATTCAACCTTTAACACTGATTATTAGTAGACTCTCAAAATGGAGAGATTAGGGAAGTACATTTATGATATTTTAGATTGAGTTGTGTGGTTTTATGATAAGTCTTCAAAAGTGGAGTACTGATTGAGACTGGGTTCACTTTCTGACAAATTAGTTTCAGATTGTAGGGCAAAATGAGGAGAGGAATATAAAACAATTTTTTTTATAAGTAAGTTGTTTGTCTAGATACATAAGATGCTTGGTTGATTCATGGTTTTATTATCCAAAAGTGGATATATACTAGAGAAAACAGCTAAATTACTTTTTTTGATCACAGTCTTGTTCAAAATAGGAGGTGAAGAGTATGCCTGATTATAGGGAATTGCTAGTATGTTGGTTTTAGTTGTCATCTACATGACTTCAGAGTCCATCAACTACATCATCCTAACTTTCTTTCCCATCATTGATATATCCCAAAGTAGTCTGTTCTGCTGTTGGATTGCTCTAATAAATAGCTTTTTGAAAAAGTTCTAATATAATTCAGTTTAAATTTGTTACCCTTTTGTAGTCGTTGATGGGGTTAGATTGGGTTGAATCTTCCTTCTCCATGATAGCCTTCAGAAAGATTATCAATCATTCAATAGTCTATATACATACATATATCCTTCCCCTACTCTTCTATTTTCTAGACAAATCCTAGTTACTTCAGGTTTTCAAGTAAAAGCTATATTTATATAGTAAATAGCATCATATCATGGGATATAATAAGGTTGATAACTACAAGGTCATTATTTTAGATAGTGTCTTAGCCCTTTCAGATGGCTTCAATAAAGTATCACAGACTGAGTGGCATGATAAGCAACTGAAACTTATTTTTCACAGTTCTGGAGGCAGGAAGTCCAAGATCAGGATGCCAACGTGGTTGAATGAGGAGTCTCTTCCAGGTTGCAAACTTCTTGTTCTATCCTCACATGAAGGAAGGGGATAGGGAGTTATGTGGAACCTCTTTTGTAAGGGCACTAATCCCAATTACAAGGATGAAGCCCTCATAAACTAATCACCTCCCCAATGCCCCACCTTCTAATATGAATACTTTAGGGATTAGGATTTCAATATAGGAATTTTAGTTTAGCATAAGTATTTAGACCATAGTAGATTTCAACATTTTCAGTATCCTGTGTCTTCTTACATCCTGAAATATGTCTACATGCGGAAGTACAAAATGACTGGTTTAAGTTTTCCTGATTAATTTCAACCATCTTAACACGAAGGTTCTGATAACAACCAGCATGCTATTATTTTATTGGCAGCATGTAAAGCCATGAAACCAATCTAAGCAAAATATCTTACTATTGCTCTGAAGTGAGTTTTGCAATATTTAAAATATCATGAACACTTTTGCCTGAGCTTTTATAGATGGTAAACATGTTTATCAATAACATTCCATTCTAACAGCCTTAAAACATAAAAATAATATATAAAGCGGTGAAGGAAATTCAGATATGGGTTTTGTCATCAAGGTGTCTTACTCTACATATAAGTCTGCATTTGAAAAAAAGTGGGGGTTCTGCAAAGAACTATCTCTTCTGAATTAAAAAAAAAACGTTTTTTGTAAATACAGCTAAGAGTTATAGAATTCTACTCATTTTAATTTATAAGTATTCTGCAATTAGTTAATTAGATCAGTAGAATGAAGGCCAACAATCAACAGAAACCTTAAAGCAATTTAGAGTCCTTTTGAATCTTTAAAGAAAATCCAATAAGCACTTGAAAAACAAAATCAATGAAGAGTCTTAAATGTTTCTTTTCTGATTTTCCACAGGGTCCAAGTTTTCTCTCTGAGGCCCTTTTCCTTAAACGTGCAACAAAAATTGAAGAAATGGATCCTTTTTTCCACCTTCATGAAACCATTACCAAGGTAGGAGATAAATGCATTCATGAGCTAGTTGAGCAAGTTTTGTTCTTTTTTGTTGATAGATGGAGGAAAGGAAAATAACCAATCAAGAGAAAATTTATACTTTCATTTATAAAATGTATTTGAAAGAAATTTAAGTACCTCATCTTATTTTACTAAGGAGTAAGAATGATAAATGTCTCAGGCAAAATCATAGAAACCAATAACATGATTTGTAATGAAAACCAATCTTTAATAAAACAATTAGGTTTTTTTTTTCTTAATCTGAAAGTAGATTTGTGGTATAATCTCAAGTATACCCCTTGATTAAGGGCAGTATAAAATGCATCTTTGAATTTCTGCATCTTCAAAGTTTTGTGTCAATACTTAAGATATTTGGTTGTTTGTGGTGGTACTTTGTCGTTGCATTAAAAAAATAAAGACTGCATTTATAATCAATGTTTTTACACTATGATGGTCATACCTATATTTTTGCTTAAAACTCTTATCTGTGAGTTTATAATATGGAGAAAATTAAATTGTACAGTATGGAGTAAATGAAGTTAATATTCTGGCATTACCTGACATCATATGAATTTTTACTTTTACCAACTATTTGCTTAATGTGTCATAACTTCTCTTTGGGGGGTTGGAATTTATAGAGAATTTTTGCATTTCAACATTTCAAAAAAGAATCCATATTTATATATGCTTAGTTGAAAGATTGAATCATTCTTAAATCATCTTAGTGAAATTTTACAAGGCTATTTTTCTCCTCTTCATAAACAGAGATGTGATATAATGAACAAACTCAATGAGTGGCAATAGAATGAGCTCAGAATACAGACTATATTCTAGATCTATCATAGCTTTCTTTCTTTCTTTTTTTTTTAAGCTGTGCATTTGTTTTTTCTGAACTTTTGAAATAAGAGGAGTTTGGAGCACATTTTACTTAAAATGCTCCCAAGCTCAAAATATCTGAATCTTAACTACATTTATAATTCTTTGCTTTGCAATTTATTCCTGAGTCTTAATTTAGTTTTGAATGTATCCATCCTTTGATACCCATTTTTATTTGGATGTAGCAATATGGAAATAGCCCCTAAATAATAGGTCCTTGGTATTTAAGATCTTAACTATATGCTTAATACTTATAGGGATGATAGACTGATAGATAAAAAATGATATCTATAGCTATCTATTTAAATTAGTGTATATTTGTATGTGTTTAGATGAGAGTATGTACGTGTGTGTATTTATTCAAGAATTCTGGATATTTAGAGCCTACATTTATTTACTTATTTTTAAGAGAAGCATTAGAGGATTTTAGGGCAATGGAATACTAATATTTTCTCCTTTCTTTTGAGAATTTATTGGATTTTTGTGGAATGGATAATTCTGAGTCCACATTGATATCAGGTATATAACAAGAGGTGTAAACTCACACTGATTCTTACTGCATGATGTCTTGGCCACAGTGCAGTTCCTAGCAGCATATTGGGAAGCAGGGATGGGTCAAGAAGGGAGTAGGAGAACATAGAACATAGCCTGAATATATATATATATATATATATATATAGTCACTACATACTGACATACTATCTATCTATCTATCTATATACTGACTATATATATATATAGTATGTAGTGTGAAACACAGGAAATCAGACACCCTTTGAGAGAATACACAAATTTGTGCACAGACATTACCACAGGTTCTATATTTATTTTCAAATATGTTTCATATGTAGGCAGATATTTAACCCATTAAATGGATTTTAGAAAGAATTCTTTATCTATGAAGAAAGAAAACATGCCTAAGTATACAAGCAAGTGTCCTGTGACATTTTTTATAAAGAAATTTTTATCTAATGTTGATACTGTCTCCCCAGTCATCATGTTTACCTATGGTAGCCACTCATGTTGCAGATCTAGGCCAAGGGAAGAAATTGTGCTTCAGAAGTTCAATCTTAGTTTACCAACAGGAAAACCTGGGAACCATAAAATGAAGTAGTTTATAGATACTTTATTTTAAGGTCAAATTTTTGTTGATCAATAACAAAATAAAAATATAAATATAGTAGGGTTGATCAGAGCACATGAGTAGGAGATATGGAACAGAGGTTTTACTACCATGGTTACCAACTTATTATTTTATTTAGTAAAACTGCATTTTTTTTTATTTAAAAAAAAATTTTTTTTTAACGTTTATTTATTTTTTTGGGACAGAGAGAGACAGAGCATGAACGGGGGAGGGGCAGAGAGAGAGGGAGACACAGAATCGGAAACAGGCTCCAGGCTCTGAGCCATCAGCCCAGAGCCCGACGCGGGGCTCGAACTCACGGACCGCGAGATCGTGACCTGGCTGAAGTCGGGCGCTTAACCGACTGCGCCACCCAGGCGCCCCTGCATTTTATTTTCTACATCAAAAATGAGTACACTCATAACAGCTTTCCTCACTAGGATTCTGTGAGATTAAAAGATGATGCATACATTTTCTCTGAAAATGCAATATGGATATAATTGAGTATAATTATTAATGCATTAAAAAGTACTAGTGCTGATACCTTCAAAGTAGACTCTTACCTGCTTTTTCTGAATTTAGTTTTTCCTTTAAGGAAAAAAAAATAAGTTAGATATGAAAGCATACAATTTAATTAATTAAGTTCTGAGAATACACTAGTAAGTTAGTGTACAAATAGAATATAAAATTTAATTTGTGTAAGATTGAGGTCTTTAGAATATTTTGTTTCAATAAGAATAATAGTGGTATTAGTGTGATATTACAGAAATAGCAACGGACATTGAATAAAAATACCCAGCTTGGTATAAATTCTGTCAATCTGAATTATGAAAAAATGATGTGAAATAGGAAAAACACTTTGTAAAATGATAAAACACAGTTACTGATATTATATCAATTTTAAAACATTTTTAAGAAATCCATCATAATTAAAATATTGAAGATACTATATTCCTATTTCTCCCCATAAAAATTTGAATTGGATACACAGCACTATAACAAAATCACATATTTATTTTTCTAATAAATAAATGTAATAATATACATCTAAGACAAATGTGCATGTAATGCAATCTGTTATCTTTTCTGAGTGAGTAACTGCAGTCTAGACCTTTGTTATAGATCACAAATATGATTTCTATAAAATTAAATTACAATTTCTAAGTATTAAAAAGTTAATAATCTATCATTGGTGTTTTTTGGATTTAAAAAAATGAAAATAAATAGATGGCACTAATATGTGGGGTAGGAGCTATGAGTCCTAGTAGGTAGTTTCCCAATGTTGTCCTGTAGTTCTTTAAAAAACTGTTTGTATTTTTTTTACAAAGTTTGACTTTATCTTGGCATTTGTCTTTTTGATATAAAGCATGGAACCTAAGAAAGTAATGAATGAGGCTCAATATTGATGCTAAAAGGTATAATTCATCATTGCCTCAATGACAGGTGATGCAGGATAAAGTCAAAGGACAACACATACTGCACTGATGTTGAAGATGTTTTCTTATCTTCTATAATTATCTTTAAAAATAGAGTTTGTTTTTTTTAATTATCACGGAAGCCAAACTAATTTCTCTAAGACTACACATGAATGAAATACCAATATAAATTTTAGCTGCTTAATCCTTTAATAAGTGAATAAAAATCTCCATGGATTTATGTTTTGAAATAGGCTTATTTCTCCTTCTGTACCTAGGAATTTTGTAGTCATGTTTCTAAATCTTCAACATTTAGCTCATAAATTGTTATTAGTTATCTAAGTATTCTTGTAGCCTATTATAAGCCAAGGATGAAGCAAAATACTTGAAAAAATTAATACATGGGAGCAGGTACAGGGAGTAAACAAGTAAGCAAATCACTTAATATAACACACTAAAAAAGGTGATAGTAATATGACCAAGTTATGATAAGAAAGTATGTATGGTAGTATGTAGTATGGTAGTATGGTAGTATGTGAGAAATGATCGTTTGTATTTTGAATAACAGAAGACAGATTTAAGAGACATGTTTAGGTTTGAATAACAGGATATATGATTTACTGTATATGGGAAATGAAGCAAAGTGAAGAGTAAAGGAAACTTTGAATAGCTCCATCTTAGGCAAAGTTGATATTATTGAATTGACCAAATTAAAAGTTGGTTTGAAGAAAGTGATAGAGTTTGCCATTGGACATGTGGAATTTTGGATATTTAGGGCATCTAGACAAATATGTCACGGAAGCAGTTGGATACATGAGGTTGGGGCTCAGAAAGAAATGGAATCCAATGTGCATTAGCTGATGCAATAACCACTTGTCACATGTGGATTTAAATTAAAAATAAATTAAATAAAACTAGAATTTAGTTTCCTTGATATCATTAACCACAATTCACGTGGTTAGTGACCACATATGGCCAATAGTTACTGCATGGGATCACACAGATTATAGAATATTTTCATCATTGCCAATGGTGCAGATGATGTTACCCTACAATATTCATGCAGAGCAGCAAGAAATACAAGGAAAGGACAAAACACCCAAGGTAGAATGGTTTATGGAATCCACAGGACAAGATATATTCTAAGAAGGAGGAACAGTTCAAGAGCATATTCTCCATAACCTCACACCATTAAGATGGCTACTATTAAAAACAAAACAAAATAAAAAATACCAAGTAATGACAAGTATGAATTTTAGGATTGCTTGTTCTAGTTTCGAGAAGAATGCT